GTTGACATGATTGCAACACACATCCGCATACCTGGATTAAAAGGGGATGAAGTTTGTTACAGAAGAAGAGTACGGCTAGGATAGAAGCATTTGCATCTTAAACAAGTCTTAGAGCATCTCCCAGAGTCTTTCTAAAACTTACTCTCTAAGTCATCATTAAAGAGTCATTTGAATAAAAATCCCTTTCTATTTTTTTACACTCTCCAACGACTTTTCTATATCTTGTGCGCTCTCTAGAGAGTCAGCCTCACTCCATCTTTGGCTAGCGAGAAATCCGGAATAGAAGATGGCTATATCTCGATAACCAATTAAAGAAACTGTTGGAGAGTATTTTTAGAACCAAAATCTCTATTCCTAACAATTAGGAAGGATATAGAGAATCTTTTGGAGTTGCTCTTATGCCTTTGTGACTACAACTATGAGCAACACATTGCCCGTGCGTTGCAACAGGAGCAACAAAAATTTGCATAATCTATTTGGTAGCAAGCCAAAATAAGATCGGGGTAATTAAATTTTGCATGTGTACCAAAAGAAAAATTATCCATACCACAAAAATCAAGACAACACAGTGCATTCTTTGGCCAGGTAGAATGAATGAATATAAATAAGAGTGGAGATGATTTTTTTCTGATTTGAAAACTTCTCATTCAAAACTAAAACAAAATTAGCAATCATGAATCCTAATTAACTTTGCGCAACAGTTGCATAGACCTTACAGGAGTAAAATAATCAAACTGCAATTCAAATTTCTCATATACTAAATAAATTCTACAAGTTTCAAGAAGCTAGTCCAACTTACCAAAAAGCTCTGAAGTTCACAATTTAGTTCAGTGGTAATGGAATCATCGACCGCCACCTCCACGCCCACAGATCAGTTCTGGATCCAGCCCACTTTAGTTCACCAATATGAGCCTAAGGATCCACTTTTATCGCTTCGATGGGTGGCTAGGGTTGTCGTTGGTAGCTCTGCTATGGTTGGTGAGGCTGTAGAGTGGTGGCGGACCGACTTGACTTAACCCTTGAATATGAGGTGATTTCACCCTTCATAATATCTAAACAGAGAGGAGGAATGATAAGCAATACGCTCTATACATAGCTTCAAACTTGAACTATCAAATAACTCACATGAGCCCCAGGGTATGCACCAGGCCACCCATCTGCAGTGGCCTTGTGTGCTTCCCCTCCAGGATCATTGGGTCCCCTCCTAGATCCAAAAACAATTCAAAACCCAGCACACTGATGGCATATGGATCGATTTAAACGAGATCATGGGAAGAGTTCCATCACCTGGATCATGTCAAATCAGAGTAGGAGGCCCACCTAGGACAATGGCGACATAGTTGGCGGCGGTGCCCCATGGTGGTAGGAGAGAGACCCTGGATCACAGTGGCCTTGGACCGGAGTATGAGATAGTCACCACAATTAGCCGATAATACCCTTGATCGGTTGATCCACTGTTTCTAGTGAACAGCTTGTTTGACTATCTGCATCGTCTTTGTTTTACTAGTAACTTGAGTACCATAAGCACAGTACCTCAGCTGCATAAGGAACCTTTTGCAACCACATCCATATCAGCTGCAAATCATGGCCAGCTAGCTTCAGATTCAGAATACACAGACCTCTATACTCTACTTGTTCCAAATCTTTTAGCATGCAAGACGCCACTGCACACTTACATCAAATCTCGAGTCCAGATGAAATCGCCTTTTGTATCCACTTTCAAATCAGAAGGTAGTTTAGTACACTCCTGCTGGAAGTTGTCCTGCGATAACCAACACTAAGTAACAATGATTGCTCATGAATCTTAAGTAGCTCGTAGTATAATTCTTGAGGGCTATTTCCTTTTGTGCTCCTAGAAACTTGATTTCAAGAAGTACTATCCACAGCCATATAACTTGGCAATAACTCTCTCATTTCTTTCAGTGTCCAGACTGAAAATCATGAACGAGAGAGGAGTTCACTTGACCCTTTCTATCTGTGGACCCTTTTCTGATTGCAGTGATTTCTACCCAATTGTGAATTAAAATATGATCATCATCAATGCCGAACCTTGTCGAGGCATGAACATGACTTGAACTTGAGGCTCAAAATAAATTTGGAGGGACTTTTTTTTTGAGGAAACAGGAGGGGTAGCCCCCTACTGGTTAATATATATTAATTAATAGCAGAAAAAGATGTGTCCAAGCAACATAATTCAAGAAACGAAAAAGGACAGAAAGAATATTAAGAAGATCACAATTGGTGCTCTAGCCATTCTTCTATAAGAGGGAAATATTTTTTCTTCGCTCTATGGATAACCAGAGAGAACTCTTTTTTGAAAATTGCCCTGCAATTTGGTATAGATTGCTGAATTCCTTGGAATATATGGTCATTCCTTGAGACCCAAATGCACCAGCTCATTAGTATGATGATTTCCATGTAGAAGTTGACTCCCAACTGGTGCTTGAAGTGTTCCAGAGTAATAAAAATTCATCATCGGTGTCAATGCTAAGATTAAGACTGAACTAGAAAGCTTGCGCGAAGTCACACTTGAAGAATAGGTGTTCCAGGGTTTCCTCCATAGGAGGTTGGGTGCATAAGACACAATCATAAGAGGGGAGATCCATGTTCTTCCTTCGGAGAAGTTCTCTTGTGCTGAGTCGGTCCTTTAGGAGTATCCAGAAGAATACTTTATGTTTGTATTGACAAGATGACCTCCATATCCATTAGAATGCCGGGTGTACCTCTGTGTGACCAATTAGAACTCTATAAGCCTTTGTCATGCTGATTTTGCACTTCAAAGGTTCTCTGTGTGACCAATTTGAATGGAGGGACTTTCAAGTGCGCACATAATTATAGCCAGCTAGCTTTAGATACAGAACACCCAGACCTCCATATTCTATTGGTTGCAGATTTTTTACCATGGCAGGATGCACTTACGTCCGATCTACAATCCAGAAGATATCACCATTTGCAATCACTATCAAATCAGAATGTAGCCAAAGTCTGTTGAGTTCTCTCACGCCTGAAGTTTTCCTGTGATAACCAATGCATGCTCATGGATCTTGAGTAACTCATGGAATGATTTGTAACCGGTTCTTCCATTTCCTTCTACTTCAGCAAGTAGTGTAACTTTTGTGTTTCATGAAGTACTATCCACACCATAACTTGGTAATAGCTTTCTCATTGCTGCATGTGCCAGACTGGAAACCTTGGACCAGAAATAAGTCCACTACACAGGTGTGCACAAATTTAGTTGACCTGATAGTGAACCTGGACATGGTAACGTGGAGCATGTAAATACTGCTCTTGAACGATAAACTAGTTAACCTGACAAAGAATATTTACAATTCAACTAAAAAAATGTTTGAAGTGCAAAATCAACACGAGCAAGTAAACTACTGTCAACACTAACATGAACATAGTTAGCTTGGGCCATTGACGGATGTGGTAAACAATAATATAAGCTTAGAGCATGAGATTGTGAAACTAATCTGTCAAAATTGTTTGGCCAAATCTTCACATAAATATTTTTATAGAAGCCCGCCCTTCCCCAGACCCCGCACAGAGCGGGAGCTCTCTGCACTGGGTACGCCCCTTTTTATAAATCTTCAGTTGAGATTCATTTCAGAACTGGATCACAAATCACAACATTAAGAAAGGTTCTCTGGCAAAGAGTGCCTTAAGTCTAAGGAGCAAATAAATAGGCCAGCTTCCTCAAAAGGCAAAAAGGTTCTGTGGAGTAAATGGCACACATTTAATGAGGCAATAACTTCTAGGAAAATGTATCTTCCAAGGGTCCAAGACCAATCAAGACTGAGTGGTAAGCTGATCTTACATGGAGATGTACTGCATCTTAGGACAGGAAATTTCTGTCCTGAATGAATATTAGTGCTCAAGAAATTTCAGTGAAATGAATTCACATATTTATCAGGTTTCTGGATAAATATATATGATTTTACTTTGGACAAAAAATAATGCAGATACATGTACAGAGGTGCAAAAGGAACAGTATAAATAGCATATAGCCATATACACATTAACAAACACACGAGGAATCTAACTATGATATAGCAACACTTATCCATGGCAGCTACTCCTAAATTTCAAGATACACTTCAGAGATCCAAACCAATAAGTCGAGCAATAAGCAGGTGCCATAACACCAAAGGATATTTTTTGCCTTCAAGTGTCAGTAAAATAAAGATATGAACATACATCCTTAGAGTCATATGAAATTAAATTGAAACTAGTACAAATTGTTTTCCCAGGAAAAGGAAAACCAGTATACTTAAAGTAGCATCAGTTTTAACACATTACACTTTTCGACCATTCAGTTTCACCTAAAATAGTAGCAATGCTTTCATCAACAATCACAGTGGGAAGTCAGACATGAACAACAGTGACAAACTTTTAGCAATTTGCCTTTTATTGCACTCTGTTCAGTTTTACATCTATACTCAGGTCAAATATGATACCAACTAGTAGTCAATCTGATAAGTGTTTCCACACTTCAACAGTAAAGTAAACATCATATTTTGTTGAATTATAGCAAACAAAAGATAGAGCTGATAAATATATAGGCAAAAGCATGAAGCACCATGAATTCCATACAATAGAGTAAATTAGAGAACCACACTGAGGTAAGAAAAAATTGGTCAACTATACCATTATGCCCTTGATGTGCAACAATAAACTTTTCAAAACAATGCCCTCTGTCGTCCTTGCAACCTGGGAGATAATGAAGGAGCATGGCACCTGAGTTTTTCAAAACACGGCAATAAGAAAATTTGACCCAACCCCACTGCTAGGGCAGATTAAAGAAGAAACGAATGACACAGTTCTTGGCAGGAACAAAAAGTTAGCGCAAATTATACCTAACATTTAGCAGCTAGCATCTTTAGACCCGCATATTTCCATTTCTGTTTCGTTTCTGTAGAATTGAACTCAAATCTGAAAATTCGTTTTTGATATTAACATAACTGGCAACCTTCCAGCCTTTTCATTTCAAGGCAATGCAATCAAATTGGACTAGATATTATCCTATCTAGCTCATGGTTAGTTCTTTCCATGTCATCAAAGGCTATTCCTTTCTCTGACATTTCCTTCTTCAGAGATGCTACCTTTGATTCATTTTCACATCTCGCATAGGTATCGACCATGATGCCATATATGCTACTACTAGGTTCAACATTCTTGTGCAACATTTGCTGATACAGGCATTCCATATCATGAACTCTCCCTGCACTACCCAATGCACTAAGAAGTGGATGGTATGTTCTCAGTGTAGGTCTGATGCCATACTTGTGCATTTCTTGGAGAAGCTCCAATGCTCTATCAGTATCGCCCTTGTTGCAGCATGCTGATATTATAGTATTGTAGCTAACAACGTCAGGTCTCAGCCCTTGATTTGTTAAGTTGCAAATCAATTCTTCAGCTTCATCTATTTGTGAATTTTTGCAAAGACCTTTTAGCAGCAAATTATAGGTAAATATACTTGCAGATACTCCACTATTTTTCATCTTCTCAACCAGAAGGAAAGCCTGCTCAGTGTCACCTGACTCTATATAAGTATCAATGATTGAGTTGTACACCTGTGCATTTGGTACAACATCTTTGTGTATCATATCATCCAAGATAGCTACAGCTTCTGGGATTTTTCCTTTCTTGCAAAAAGCCTTGACAACCGAACCAAAAGAGATAACATTTGACTTTATCCCCTTGTCTTGCATATCAGACAAAACAGTGAAACACTTTTCGAGTTGCCCAGCCCTCCCATAAGCGTCAATCAGTGTATTGAAAGTTTCCACGCTCCGGATCCACTCCGCTCTTCTCCATCTCCATGACCAAATCCTCTGCTTCAGTGATCATTTCCATCTTACACAAACCATTTATGAGTGCATTGTAGGTGATGTGATCTGGCCTAATATGACGTGATTTCATCTGCTCAAAGATGGAGAAGGCCCCTTGGAGGTCACGAACCTGACAATAGCCATTTATTAGAGTGTTGTAGATCGCTGTTGTTGGCACCAGCCCTGTGTGTACCAACATCTCCAACACCTGTTCTGCCTTTGCGACCTTCCCATCCTTGCATAGACCATTCAGCAAGATACTGCAAGTGTATGCTCCAATCATGACACCCTTCTTCAAAGACTCTCCAAACAAAGAAAGCATGGTCCGTGAATCTCCAGTTCGTGTGAGACCATCAAACAATATGCTATATGTGAAACCATCTGGCAACATGCTATATGATGCCATCTCATCCATCAAGACTCTTGTCTCATCCATCCTGCCAGCACGGCACAGCCCTGATAGCAGCACATTGTAAGTGACTACATTTGGCTTTGGGCCCTCATGTAGCATTTGATCCCGCAGTCTGAAACCAGCCTCCAGGTCCCCACCCTTGACATGCCCATCAATCATCGTGTTGTAGGTGATCTGGTTAGGCGCGACTCCCCTATCCACCATTTCATCGAACACCTTGAGGGCGTCGCTGCCCTTCCCGGACCTCCACAGCCCTGCGATGACCACGTTGTACGAGAACGCGTCGGGAGGAGGGGCGCCTTCGCTACGGCCCATCCGCCGCAGCATGGCGAGTGCCTCATCGAGGTCGCCCGCCGCAACGCAGGCCTGGACGACCTTGTTCCACGCGAAGGTGTCCGGGCGCGCCCCGGCAGCCACGAGGAGGCCGAACGCGGCGCGCACATCGGCGTGGCGGCCTACGGATAGGAGGGACTCGAGGAGGAGGTTGCAGGACGATAGGGACGGCAGCGGCGAGCGCACCGCGCCGGCACAGGCGCCGTCGCCCGCGCTGGCGAGGAGGGAGAGCAGGCGGAGCGCGCCGTCGGGTTGGCAGAGACGCGCGGAGGCGACAACGAGGGCGGAGGCCGCGTCGCAGAGGAAGGAATGGGGGCGCGCCCGCGGGTCGTCCTGGGTGTCGGCTGTGGCGGCAAGGGCGTGGTAGAGGTCGGGGACGCTGACGGCGGGGGGATGGGAGGAGAGGAGGGATTTGGCGAGGTCGACGGCGCGGTGGAAGCGGCCGGCGGCGAGGAGGGAGGCGAGTTCACTGAGGTAGGCAGTAGAGGCGGAGGAGGAGAGTCCGGAGGAGAGGTGGCGGCGGCGTGGGAGGAGGCGAGACATTTGCGAACTACCTCCAGTCCTGTACGGCTGCACCCATGGTTCGTGAGGGGTTTATGGCGGAGCGCTATAATGCTATGTTGTGTCTTGTCCAGCGTTTGCCTCGTTCCAAAAACCAAGGATTTCTCCCGTGTTTAGTTCAAAAAATACTTCTCAAAAAGTGTTAAATTATCCATCACATCGAATCTTACGATACGTGTATAAAGTATTAAATATAGACGAAAAAAAAACTAATTACACAGTTTGGTTGAAAATCGAGACGAACGTTTTAAGCCTAATTAATCCATGATTGAACATTAATTGCCAAATAAAAACGAAAATACTACAGTAGTCAAATTCCAACTTTCTCCCCAACTAAACACGCCTGCATGCATATTGGTGTTTTGTTGCTTGCTACTAAACTTTAGTTTCTATCATATCCGATATTTGACAGTAATTCGAAGTATTAAATATTGACGGATTACAAAACTAATTCCACAGTTTAACACTAATTTGCGAGACGAACCTATTAAGTCTAATCAGTCTATGATTTGATAATATGATGCTACACTAAACATGTGTTAATCATGGATTAATTAGTCTTAATAGATTCGTCTCGCTAATTAGACACGGCTTCTGCAATTAGTTTTATAATTAATTCATATTTAATCCTCCTAGGTAGCATCAAGAACGTCCGATTTGACACCGACTCAACTTTAGCCCAAAAAAACATGTATATTGAGTAGATTGTTTTCTTGCTATATCAACTTCCCAATAGATTCCCTTATTTTTAGTGGTCACTAAAAAAACTCATTCCCTCAAATAAAGGGGAGATGCGTCTCCAATAAGCCAGGGCCCACCATAACTATCAGTGTCCTCCTCCCTCTCGCCTATCTGCCTCCATCGCAGCCATGGCATCGACCATCCTCAAGAGGTGGCCACTAGCCAATCTTGTGTGCCGCTACCCTTGGCCTATCACGCTGCACTGTCGTTGCGCGTTGGAGTCAGCTGTCTTAGGGGTGGAGGTTAGGGCCGGGGACCTCGCCGCGCTCGATCTCAAGGGCGGAGGTCGAGGCCAGGGACGACAACGGTGTCGAGGTCGGGGTTGGGACCTCATCACGCTCGATCCTAGGGTCGGAGGTTGAGGCTGGGGACGATAATGACGGTGTGGAGGTTGCAATGGAGGTTGCTAGGAGAGGATGACAGAGAGCAGGGGAGAACCAAACTACTACGGAGAGATAGGAGAAGGTACCGACATGCGGGCTCATATATCCATGTTCGTTTCGTTGAAAAGCTAGGCTAAAAAGTACTGTTCGTTGATTTGTTGTGAGAGAAAAACACTGTACCATAGCTGATAAGCCAGGCTGATAAGTTCTCTCAATAATCCAAAAAATAGTATTTATGGTCACCGAGACTACCATATTGAAAATAGGGTACATGAGTAATTTCAATTAAACACTAATTTGTCATAAAAATCCTAAAACGTCACGTTAGGATGGAGGGAGTAGTTTCAACACTAGTTGCATCTAATTGGTGGTGCTACGTTAACTTCCCTACATGAGCGTTTCTCACTAACTCATGCTATGAGATAAAGGAAAAGGTTTCATCAGCCTAAAACGCTGCGTCCACTCCTCCTCTTGCTCTCGCCAAGCCCTTTGATGGCAACAACAAATGCCGACGAACAACGACAGAACATAACACTACTAAGTTTTCTCCAAAGTCATTTGTACCGTTGGTTTTACAAAAAAAAAACGTTGCTAATAATGTATCATTGAGGGTTCTTAATAGAACCGGCAATGAAAATAGGGAAAGTTTTTGACAAACTGTTGTTGAAAATAATTTCCATGGAGTAAAAATGTTTGCACTAGCTGGTCCACAACAAACCTTATCTGTCGACGAAATCTGGTTGCAGTAGATAAATCAGTGGAGGTGCACGTAATACGGAACTAGATGGTAACAGAGACACAAGACACAAGATTTATACAGGTTCAGGCCATCAGCTTGACGTAATACCCTACATCATGTGCTCTATTTTTTGTATTGATTATGTATCAAATTCGATATCCCATATAGAAGACCCTTGCCTCTCCTTATATACTCTAGAGGGGTAGGGTTAAAAAAAATCATATTTGGTATTATACAATAAATCACATCTTCATGTAGTCTTGCGGTGCACGCCCAGATCTTGTGGGTTGGGCCACCTTTGGGGGCGCGACCCATGTCTTGTCTTATATGGGTACCGGAGGTCATATCCCCACAGCTAGTCCCTAAACGCTGTCTTGAACAAGTCCGAGCAGTTTGACGTGAAGCCGATCGGTTTAACCGGTAATCCGAGCGGTGGAAGTCGAAGCCGATCAGTTTAACTGGTGAACTGAGCGGTGAAAGTCGAAGCCGACCGGTTTAACTGGTACGCAGATCTCGGACTTAGCTAAGTAAGGCTTGCCGGAAGGATGTAAAGGGCTCAAGATAAAAAAATTGAAAACTCTCCACCTTAGACGAAGTGTAGCCACTTAGACTCCGTTTACAAGGAATTATCCATGATTTAGTCAATAATGAGGGTAAATCAAGAAAAGAGCACTATATTCACCATAAGATGAAGTGTAGCCACTTAGTCATCGAGCCTGCTCCAAGATGAAGAATGAATCTTATAGCAGGGTTAAAGAAAATAAATCTGAAAGCTTGTCGACATCATCTGATATGTGCATATCAAGACCCAGACGTGCTACCCAAGATCAGCACCCTGATCCAAACAGCATGGAGCAAGCTGATAGCACACCGATGAGACATAGCAAGATCCGACCGCCAAGGGAGTCCCCAGCTTAGCTGGCGACTCTTGCACGAAGAATCCGAACGCTGAGTCCCTAGCTTAGCTGGCGATGAAGCGACGAGCAATCCAAACGCTAAGGAGTTCTCAGCTTAGCTGGCGAGCCCCCAGCGTAGCGGACAATGAAGCGACGAACAATTCTAACGCCGAGGAGTCCCCAGTGTAGCTGGCGAGCCCCAGCGTAGCTAGCGAGCCCCCAGCATAGCTGACGATGAAGTGACGGACAATCCGACCAGTTGGTTGGTGAAGAATCGAGCACCAAGCAGCCCAACCAACCGGTGGGCGGCGAAGTGAGCGCTGAACAGTCCGACCAGTTGTTGGCGACGAAGATCATGAACCTAGCGGTCCGACCAGTTGATCGGTGGAGAAAACAGCGGCGGAGCTTGTCGGACACATCGACCTTAGGTGAAGTGTACACACTTAGACTTTGTTGGTGAAGTCAGATGATTATCATCCATGACTTAGTCAAAGAGGATGTTAGTATTGATACATGCGCTGTAAGGTGTAATGTATACATTGTAGTCCCCAAGCCTGACAGTAGGTGAAGAATGCATCTGGTGTCAGGATCAAAGAATTACAACGATCGCTTAGTCAGAATAACTGAGTCCCAGCTTAGCCAAGCACACAGCCAGTCTCCAACTTAGCTGAAGACCAGTAAGAAGAAAAACAGTACACTCACTGTTAGGTGAAGTATACACACTTAGTCCCCAAACCTGCTGTAAGATAGAGCGGCATCTTATAGCAGGATCAAAGAAACAAATGAAAAGTACGAAATCCCCATGCTTAGCACTGGACATTGGAGTAAAATTTGAAGAGTGTTGAGCACTTAAAAATGGAGAAAAAATAGAGAGTGCTTAGCACTTTCTCGTTGGAGAAAATGGGAGAGTGCTTAGCACTTAAACCGTGGAAAAAAATGGAGAGTGCTTAGCACTACACCGTGGAGGAAATGGAGAGTGCTTAGCACTTGACCGTGGCGAAATTTGGAGAGTGCTTAGCACTATACCGTGGAGAAAATAGAGAGTGCTTAGCACTATAACGTAGCGAAATTGAAGAACATGGAGAATATTGGAGAACATGAAGATCATTGGAGAGTGCTTAGCACTTAACCATGGTGAAATTGGAGAACACGGAGAGTGCTTAGCACTATACCGATGAGACGTGTGGGGCATTCTATCCCAAGATTCTTCTGCATGCTTAGGAATATAGGCATCACGGAGGAGCCACTGCCGACCACCCATAACGCAGAGCACTACTGCTCGTGCACGTATAGGTGCTAAATCGAGGACAGGGCTGCTTCTGAATAACGCAAATGAGAACGTGACTGGTTGGCGATGATGAAATTGCCTAGCCCTCGAGCTTTTCTGACCTATCGTCATGGTGGCGGTCGCTATTGTCACAACGCCGTTCTTCGTGGCGGTCATCATCGGCGTGGCATGGCTTGCTTACGACTCAGGCGGCTCGCTTAGCAACTTGCTTGGCGGCTCGAGCGGCCTCAGGTGGCTCAGTGGCTCGGCGGAGTTGTAGGCAAACGGGCGTAATCGGAGCCTGACAGAGTCAATCCGTGCGGGGAGGCAATAGTATGCGTCATCTTAAAGATCCTTTGTGGAACGTGGCTGGTTGGTGAGTCGGTAAACAAATGGAGCGCATGGAGAATGATCAGAGTATCTTAAACATGGAGAAATTTATTGTGGAGAACGATGGAAAAAATAATAATTGAAGAAACACGGCAATAATAAAGCTGTATTAAATGCGGATATATGAAAGGTACTTAGCTTTAGTCAAAACGTTTGGTTGGTGACGTTGATGGAATTGCCCGGCCCTCTAGCTTTCTAGCCTGTTGTCATGGCAACGGTCGTGGTCGTCATAGCGTCGTTCAACGCGGCGATCATTATTACGATGCGGCAGGCGGTCAGAGCGAGTAGTCCAGGTGATGTCATCCTTATGCCGCTGGTCGACCTTAGGCAGATCAGATATGGAGAGATCGTTGTTGTAGCCGCATTCAATCTGGTCGGCGAAGCGATATTGCATGGCAGGCTCGGACGGCTCGCTTGACAGCTCGGACGGCTTACCAAGTAGAAGAATTGTTCTTGAATTGCTTTGACGGTCGTTGCGTTGTGGATGTTGATTGGCACCAAGTAGCCCATGCGTGCGATCCGAAGGCAATGATGCATGTGGTGCAACCAACCATTATGCACGATCG